AAACAAAAACTAATAGAAATTAGAAAATACTCACAAAAACCAAAACTTAGCCAAATTTTCAATCACTAATCTCTCAAAATGGATGCAAATTCCTGCTAAGCCCATTCACGTTAGAGAAGAACCCCACAAAGTCCTGCCTGTACGGTAAAAACGACCGTCGTTTATCTCCTTCCTCCGCGGCTTTGCTCCTCACGACAAAACGCTCCTCATTCTGCGACACGCCGTGGCCGCCGCCGATTCTTTTCTTGGAGACGACGTCGTCCTTGTTGTTGTTCTTGTTGTCGGCTCTCTTGGTCGAGGACGGAGCCAGAAACACGAAAGTCTCCTTGCCGTCGCTGCTGCTACGATAAAGAAGGTCCCGAAACTTCCAGCGCTTCGACGAGCCCGCGGAGCTTCTCTTGGTCTTCGAAGGGGCCCACACGCAGTAGGTGCCAGGTGGCAGGTTCTCGAGGTCGTCGGCCTCGGAGGACGAGCACGATGCCGTTTCGCGCTCCTCTTCGATCATGAGCATTCTGAGCGGCAAACGACGTTGCTTCGGCGTCGTAGCTGCCTTGGAGTTCTTATTATTAACGGCGTCGGCATCTCCGTTAACGTTTTTAGGAGATACGACGTCGTTGTGCTGTTTTAATAAGTCTTGGTCGAAGAGAGGATAGACGGGCCTGATCTGGCCGTTTGAGAAAATCTCGTCAGCAGAGATGGGCGACGTGTGTGCGTCTCTGCCGACAAAAGCAAACTCAAACTCCTCTTCCTCCTCCTCCGCCTCGTCATCGTTTTGGGGTTGTCGGTGGTGTTGTTTTACTTCTTCTTCTTCTTCAAGATGATGAGTGGCGTACAAACTTTCCCAGTCGGGCTCATCGTGGGTGAGTTGATGATCTTGAGAGGTTAACTCGCTGACGACTCGGGCGGCGATCTGAGCGAGTCGGTCGGAGGAAGAGTAGGTATTGAAGCTGGGAGAAAGTGAGATTAATGGACCTGAAGCAGCCTGCATTATTATCAATTTGGTAGCTTCTTCAATTCAATTCTCTGTGTGCAGCTTTCTGATATTTTAATTCAGAGAAACAGAGCAAACAGAGCAAAGAGAAGAGAGAGAGAGAGAGAGAGAGAGGAGGGTTGGGTGGAAATGAGAATGACCCAAAGTGTGGGGCTTGACCCTTCACCTTGGATTTGGGTTTATATAAATTATTTTTTGTGACCGTGAGTGGTTGTGAAAAATGGCTTCAATTTTTCCGACGCTAAATTTAAAAACAAAACAAAACAGTCTTTTTTTTCGTTTTGGGTTTTTTGGTTTTGGTCACATATATTAAAAGTCTCCCCTACAATAATCAGGAAATTGTATACGCGTTTTTGTGAAAATTAGGATAAGCTCCTGCCCCTCTCTGTGTGAGTTACTAAATATGAGAGGTTTGTTTGGGACAATCGCCCCCTTCGCCTGCCACCTGTTCATGTTTATGTTCTGGCTTCTTCTTCTTTTTTTGAGATGAATAATTTTATTGCGGAAATTATATGCTATATTAAGTATATTATTAATGATGGGTTTTTATGGGTGGAAGATAATTAAATAATTACGTAAGGGAAATTAAAAGGAATTTTATTTTTCGCAAGAAAAACGCATTTAGATTACAAGTGAGAGGCGGAGGGTGACCAGTGCTCGTATGTGGGCTGTCATGTCGCGTGTGAAGCTCATGAGTTCACACGTGTACAAAGAAGCCGTTGGAACCTCAAAAACAAAACAACAGGTTGCCGGGTTGTTAATCTTACATTAAATTATTATTATTATCATTAATCTTCACATAAGAATAATAAAATTTCATCTTTGTGTGCGTTAAAAAAATACAAAGATTAATTCATTTCAGATTTTGGTGTGTGCCTGCCTGAGCGAGAATACTTGAAGGTGACCCTCCTCGTTCTCATTCATTGTAAAATTAAAATTAAAATTAAATAATTAAATAATTAAATTAGTGATTTATCTAAACCACCAAGTTCTTTTGATGGGGACTAGACCCACCAACTTGACACTTATAAATCAAGAGATATATATGTTTTGGAAATTCTCAGATGTTTAGCAGGAAACTATGCAAGTTGTGATGTGGATATGAAAACCTTGATTTGTGACATATCAAACTTTTATTTATTTATTTCCAACCTGTTTGTGGGAACAAGACAACCTCTTTTTTCATAGAAAAGTATTATCATTTGCCTATTAAACCCACCTACCCTTATTATTAATTATTAATAATAATCATAAGGGTTGATGAAATGATTTGATGAGCTAAATCATATGGATGTACTTTTTGAGGTTTTGTTTCATGTCACCTACCAATTGCCTAACACTCCAAGGCCCAAAGGCTGCTCCTCGCTTCTTGAATTGATCAACACATAGCCAATGGGGTGTTAGTTGGATTGTCCGGGACTAGTTCCCATGTACATGAATTGCTTGACTTTGAGACAAAAAAATGATCAACACACCCACCAAAATATAATCTACCAATGATGTGGCCTAACATGGGTGGATGATTTTTGGGTTTCTCTCTCTCAACAAATATGTTTAAACTAATTATTCTATTAATGCATAGGATGAAACACATATGATATGAATAGCAATGGTTTGGGCGTGAATAGCACATTCTGCATGAACAATGTCATGGGTCATGCGATGCATTGCTTGCTTGCTCATTATTTTGGCGTTTGAATTATATATATTTCTTTTCGGTGTGATGAGATGCAATTTTGCAAGTAATGTAAAAGCACGTTTGGAAAAATAAATAGTATTAAGATTATTAATATTATATCAAGTATATATAACACACTGCATTAATGAGATTAGCCTTTGAAAGCAAGCAAGGCATCTTTTTAGCTGCAATTATGAACAGCTTGCGTGAGCAAGCTTTGATATTGTTGGTATACCATGCGTTTTATTGAATTATAACTACAAATGATCGAGTCTCATAATCATCGAAGGAGCACATGTACATAAGACATACTAAATATTTCCAATCAAATCATTCGCCTCTAATAATAAACCTCCAAACAAGGCTTGCGTTTTAATTTTACAGTAAATCATGCGTATGCATCTACATATAGAACAACTAGCGTAATTCATCAACAACCGACAATTATCCATATGTACGTAAAACACATTTACTGTAATTCCGTGTGGAGTTTTGGATAAGTCAATGAAAAGACTATTGCATCTATTTATAATAGTGTCTATTTGTCTTATATTACAACAGTTTTTTTTAGCATTAAAACGTCTAGAACTTTGCTTTTACGCTTACGGGTGACTGATTGATTATCTTGGAGTGGTGTGGCAATGGAACAGCACGGCCCACAGTTATCACCTAAACCCGTTGTCGTTTTACAATAATCCTAAACACCGTGGACCGACCATCCATGGAAAAATGTGGCATAAAATCTTTTTTAAAAAGAAAAGAAATAAGAAAAATGGAAATTTTCAATTTTCGTGAGGAAGACATCATCTCGAAGGCTGTCACATAAACATCACTAGCCCCTTGTCAGACGCTCATGCGTGTTAATTGGTTTTCTTTTTTGTTTTATTGTTTTAATTTTTTATTTATTTTTAAAATCAAGAAAAGATAAAATAGATAGTTATGTTCCATAAAAATAAGACTCATTATCTGATTTTGTTTTTAATTTTATTTATTCTAATATAAAAAATATAAATTCATCATATTATCATCATTTAATTAATAATTTTAATTTTTAATATTTGCATTAGTCAATGACATTTTCTAGTAATATATAAATTATCAATATATAAAAAATGTAGCTTTAGCAAATCTGATAATATTGGGCTGAGGCCCAAGTTCAGTCAAGATTGGGCTTTTATAAGTATAGTTACACTGGGCTCATATAAATAGGCCCAACTTCGTTCAATATTGGGCTCATGAAAACAAATTTGGATCAGTTTAAACCGGGTTCGACTCCGGCAGTGGAATTATGTTTTTTTTAAAATTTTTTTGCAATATTTTTAATTTCCAGTATAAATATTGTGGTTCAACAGTACAATTTAGGCCGTGTAAAAACCATGACTTGAGGAACAATTCACCCTTGACTTGGGCACCAAGAATGGCTTGGAATCCTTGTAATAAATTGGGTAAAGGATCAATAATTGATACGAAAGTAGGCACATGCACTTTCTTTAGGTAAAAATTAATAGGACTTTTTAAGTAGGTCCCAAAACTAGTGAAATCCCAGAAAAACCCCTTAGGCATCCCCGCTGGATCCCCCTCACTTGTGGTTAGAATATGTCATTTTATCCACCATATTAATCTCCCTAGTGCAAGTTGACCATTTCATGCTGTGATCTTTATAATGCTTGCTGATCAAAGCCATGGTGGGTGGAGGCAAAAACTTTCAAAGTACACCAATTAGAGCTGGAAATGACATCCAAGGTGAAGTTGGTTTCTTAATTGGTCCAAACCAAACGAACTGGTAAATGCGGTTCGAATTGGCCGACGTAGCCGGTTCAGCCGGATTGATGCCCACCCCGAACAAACCAGTATTTTTATACATACAAAGCCAATCCCCTTTCAAACAATATCCATCTCAATAAATAAAAAAAACTTGGCCTTTAGCAAAGCTGATAAGTAGGCCTGAGGTCCAGCTTCAGTCTATATTGGGCTGATATAAGTAGGCCTTATGTGCGGAATAGTACTTTTTGCTTTCCGCCATTTTTGTTATTATTTACTTTTAAGGCCTTGGAAAGAATGTTATCATTCAACAGTAGAATTTATTCTTGAAGGTAAATAGCATAATTTTTGGAGTGTTCCATGGGTGACTTAGCAGAAGAGGAACCATTTACCATTGTCTTAGGCACCAAGCATGGCTTGGGATCCTTTTTAGTAAAAGAAAGGATCAATAATTGATATGAAAGTAGGCATATGCTCTTTCTCTGGTTTCTCATGTCATTCGGAGCATCATATCACCATTCATGACATGAGAGAATATTTGGTACTAGAAAACCCCACGTAAGAAAGAAGAAAAGAGAATATATCATCATCATCATCATTATCATCATCAAGTCTCAACCGTTGATTGTGGAGAGCACCAATTCAATTTCAACCAGTACAATGTCAGCGTGACTAGGTAACATACAGAAAAATAGAAAATTAGGTAAAATTTACTATCGACTTCCAGGTAGATCCCAAAACTAGTGAAATCCCAGAAAAACCCCTCTCAGGCATCTCTACTGGACTGGATCCCCCTCACTTGTGGTTAGAATATGTCAATTGGATCCTCCCCCCACTGCAACTTGCAACTGTGCACTGTTTAACTCATCATCCCAACAAAGGAATAGGTTGTTCATCTACACCGCCTGTGTTATTTTTGAATTCCTTCCCATTTCTCTCTCCATTTTGAGCAACCCTTTGCAAACCTTTGATTTGCTGCACACACACACAAAAAAAAATATATACAATCAGATTATTATACACAAATTATGTAATACATGGGAAATTGGAGAGCATGAAAAAAAAAAATATTATATTGAAAATTGTAAAGGGTACAATGAAGGGTTCCTTCTTTCTGACTCACTCACATGATGTAGGATTCATAAGATTATAAAATTATATTAAATTTTATGTTGGACCACTTTATGTAAGAGAGTTGGAAAAGAAATTTGATGCAAGTTTACTGAATTGGTGACAGAACCTGCTCCAAGAAAACTCCCAAATAAGGAATTCTCTGCCTTGGTAAGCAAGTAGCCAAGAAGAACCAGCTAGACAGAATATTGAAAATAAAGGTAATGATTCCCTAATAAATTAAATGCTTAAAAAGTTGAAAATAAGTTCTCATTCAATCCTCTGCCAAATAAAAAAGAAGAAATCAATTTCATACCTTTGCTCTGAAAGATTTGATGATTGAAGCCAGTAACTTGTCTCCTGCTATTTGTCTCACTCTTTGTATTAGTTCATGCCTTGAGATTTTGTCCTCCTGAAAGAAACAAGGGTTCACAAAAATGAGGACAATAAAAAAAAAATTATTACAAAAAGAGTACCAATCAACAAATGCAATGAAGTACTACTTACCCTGTGATCTTTGTAATGCTTGCTGATCAGAGCAATGGTAGGTGGAGGCAAAAACTTTGAAAGTACACCAATTAGAGCTGGCAATGGCATCCAAGGTGAAGTCGGTTTCTTAATTGATTCTTGAGTCTTTAAGAACCCTACATCATGAAACAAAAGTGTAGAACATGAACTATAGATTCCAAACACTGTAGAAACAAATCCAGACAGTATATTTTTTTTTTAATAAAGTTGAGAAAGTTGCATACCTTTCAAGCAAGTAGGAGCTCTGAAGCTGATGACATATTCTGGCAAGATGTGAGTGTTCATGTAGGTGCTCCATACTATATACTTCTTCGGAGCAATAGGATTGTCCACACCCGAATCGAACTCTTCGGAAGTTGGATGATACTGTTCAGAACCAGGATGCACAACCTCCGGCCTCCCCAATATAACACGGCAGAGCAAAAGATGTCGCAGACCGTCTTCATCAACATTGGAGCCTTCCACACTAGAACACAAAACAAATTTGTCAACCAAATGTTGAGAATAAGTGACAAAATCAAACTTCTACACAACGAAATACAGATGAGCAGTTGATAAATTAAAGAATCAAGAAAAGTCTTAAGTTGGCATGAGAATTCGTCAACAATCATACAAATTAATGAATGGACTTGTTCAATTCCAAGTTGAGTAGACCAAGAAATTGGGACAAAGCAATCACTCACCATGTCAGAGGAGAATCATCAGGAGCAAGGTAGACGCCACTGCCGTATAACCCATCTTTCTGAGGCTTCTCATGGTGACCAAAACCATGGCAGATGATCTTAGAAATCTCATCCTTAGAAGAAGGTGCATACCAAGCATATTTCACATTGGGATTGCCACCGCATTTCTCCTCCACGGCTTTCAAGTAAATTTGAAACGAACGCAGCCTTGCTTGCCCCACAAGGCTAGAATAGGAGTTTCTATGAATGGCCACAACGTTGGCGTGCGGTCCAAGCAAACCCAAACTTGAAACAAACCTCTGCTTGATGAGATCGTGAACTCTGTTCCCGTCGAAAAGTGCGACCAACCTGTCATTGAACATCCGCGATTGCGCAGAACTGGAACCCGAATCTACGACACTTTCGCAGTCGGAGATCAACGAATCTTGATCTTGGACGGAGGTCTCTGAGGCCGCATCGCTCGTACCCGAATCGGTAAGTTGATCGCTGAGTTTATCTTCGGATGAATTTTCAGAAGAAAGCGCTGTGCTCCCATCGGTGAAAACAGAGGACAACCGACCTTGAACACCGCTACACGCCATTGCAATAAAACCCAGAAGAAAGTGGAAGGAAATCTAGTGTGGTTTACAATCCGAAACCGAAGACAATTGTATCTAAAGACTAAATATGGACACGTATTAGAGTTTCGTGGAGGTAAAGCAAACGAATAGAGAAACTCTGTTTTTTCTTAAACCAAAGAAAGAATCAGAGAAGAATTTGATTCAGACCCAGAAAGTGTTGGAGCAAAAGAAATTGACCCAACAAAACAGAAATGAAATTGTATGTATACAAAGGATGGGACTTAAGAAGAGTCGGCAAATTTTGAGAACGCTAAAAAAAGGCCAACTTACCAAAAATATCAATAGTATGCATACATTTCTGGACAGTTGAGAGAGAGAGAGAGAGAGAGAGAGAGAGAGAGAGAGAGTTGTAATTGCAAAGGGGTGGTTTTATACGAAATTCAAATCACAAAAACGGTAGCAAGAGAAAACCCAGAAATAAAGAATATGGGATTTGAAGAGGGTGTGTAAGAAATCATAACGAAACTGTGAGATTCTGAAACTGTCTCTGCTTTTGTAAGTGTGTGCGTTGGGGTTTTGTTTTAAATGAGAAAACCGTGTTTGCTTGGAGAAGGAGGGAAGAAGAAGAAGAAGAAAATATAAATACAGTTCAGGAAAAACTAACGGAACCGCCTTGTTTTTGTTTTGTGAAAAAGGCGGTGCGGCGCTAATTGTTTTGATTACCCGTCGTTTTATTACCGAAAAGTGAGGCCATAGGCGCTCTCTCGACTTTTTTGGGCTAAGGCGGTTTACCCAAACCCAAAACTATACCCGGTGGATTTTTGAACTGTATGGAATTACTAAAATACTCTTGTAAATATCTGTTCACTTTTTTGGCCTTTTTGAACATAAAATGAGAGAGGCAAAAACACATCATTGGCATGGGGAAAGGGGTAGGTTAAAATTTAAAAAGACCTCCTCAGATTGGTCGGTGGGGAGATTGGATGGGGACGATATTGTGAATCAAACATTTAATTGAGGGGTCATGGATTTGTGGATTGGATAGAGCTTCAATCTTTAGATATATATATATTTTTTTCTCTTTGAAGTAATGAATGTTTTGTCACGTCTGCGTGTTTGTGTGTCTAAATGTGACTGAACAGTTTTTCACCACCCTAACTTGTCCTGGATTAAAGGTAACATGACATGGGTTCATAGATTTTTTATTTTTCTTTTGGTGCTAAGCTGTATTCATAGGTTTCCCAGTTTTCTTTTGGCCATCTGGGATGGGCAAATTTCATACTCTGGGCAGAAATACTTTGACTTTTCTACGCGGCGGTCAATTATTAGTTGAAAATAGTAGAACAATGCTATCCCGTTTCATACAAGGTTTTCTACTTATATTGATCTCAAGGGGTCTTCAATGTGGCTGGCTATGTCTTTGCAGAGAATATAATAAATAATTTACAAGGCAT